AGTGTTTAGGGATTAGGGATTAGGGTCTAGGGTTTGGGTACTACGGGAACCCTTCCACATCATTCGACGACCTGATGAAGCAACCCTATTACAACGAGGTGCACAACATCCTGAAATCAACACACCAACCCTTACATGAACCCCTGATGGAAAGTTTACTTCCTTAATAAACGGAGCCCTGTACCACCCCAAACTGTCCTACAAGTAGGTACGGCTAAGGGGGGATACTTCGCAAATCATGATCATGGTGATTCCCAATATAGAAGCCCTACAGCTTGCTGTATAGGTACTTAGGATCCTTGTGGAATCACCCTCAACCCTAAACCCCGAACCTTTGAGAACCAAAATGGCTTACCTGTATAAGGCCGTATATAAGGAAGTCATCATCATAGGGAACATAAACAGGGAAGGTTTCATAGGGTCCAGGCAATCCCTAAACCCTACCCTAAGGCTCTTATTGCTCTTATGGCTTTTCCAAGGAGAAGGTTTGGGCTTTGGGGGCTAAGGTTTGGGCTTTCACTATAAGGGTCCATAAACCCTAAACCCTAAACCCTAAACCATGAACCTTAGAGTAAACCTTTGGAGGACCAACCTCTCCCCTGTTTTGCTCAGCTCGCTCGAATCCGCTTCCGGGAGGATGTGCCAGAACCTCTCCGCTCCTGGGATTCAGCTCGCTTCTCCACAAAGACAGGTAGACATACATGTGCAATATATCTTTCTATATGTATATATATATATATATAAGTATGTATAACATTGAGAGAAATAACTGAATGTGTTCAACTGGTTAATTTACGTACTTGTCGGGGCTACACTTCATAACACAACATGTGTTCATCAATTGTATGTTTGGTTCGCATGTCGATTTTAGTTGTCGTAGTTTGGTCGTTCTCGTGGTTGCAGTCGCAGGACTCTTTCTGGATTGCTTCGGCGGTCAAGAAGGGGGTTGTGGGGTGTGGAAGATTTCAGACGACAGGGCGATCTAAGAATTTCTCGCGTGTGATGAACTTTCGAAGTCTTTGAAGCATTGGGGGGATACTCCTTCCCAAAGGCTTTAGGAGACTTTAAGGTTACCAGGTTCGTGCAAGCAATGTAGGGGCCTAACCAATCAGAACAGGGCTTGGGTGTATGTTATACCATGATTAAACTAAGGACCACTCAGAATAGTATAGGTAATTATTGAGGCCCCTACAGTACACTAGCAAATCGAACACAAAGCACAGCTTGGCCAGGATTCCAGCAGCTGCACGATCTCTGCATGACCCTGGGCCCGTGCTAGGTCCAAAGGTGTGTCGTCCGAGAGGCATACTTTGTCCTTGTCTGCCCGCGCCTGTAACAAGAGGCTGACCGCTGAAGCATGGCCTCAAGCATCAAGATTTTTCCGTAGGGGCTGAGTACCCTGGCCCAAAATAGGTTAACCTTGTTGATTATAGTAGGATTCTATAAGCCCCAAAAAGTTAAAGGTTATCTACTCAGCTACTAAGTTTCTGCTCGGGGAGGATTCAGGTTGTAAAGGCTTAAAGCCCCCCCCCCCCCAAAAAAAAAAAGGTAAGTAAAACAGAAGCCCAATAACTGCAAAAGGCTAGTATTCTACATACTTTGGGCGGCTTTTAGGAATTAACTTTGGGTTTAGGATTACGCAAGCTTGCTTTGTGCACCGGTCACCTGGGGCAGATGCCAAGTGAAGAGGCGTCATACCATCCTCGGTGGGCACAACCAAGCTTCTGAACATGCTTGTAACTAAGACTTCGAGGGTGTCGGGGTAGGGTAGGGATAATGACCCTGTTGGACCGAAATATTATCGCAAAATGTAAAAACATCCAAGCAGTCAGCCTAGCATCATGACTGGAAGCTTGATCCTTATCGGCACAGTTTTCCAGGAGCTTCTGCACGATTGCATCATAGCCCCGGGAACAGGCCAAGTGCAACGCCGTATGCCCTGTTGTGCGAACAAAATCCACGCCAGCCCTCGCTGCCAAGAGCTGATTCACGGTGTTCGCTAATCCCTTCTCCTTACTTAGGCAGTGTCATATACTATACCTCAGGCTCCAGTTACCTGAATAGTAGGCTACTAGCCATATTATATAATTTATACCCCAGTAACCCATAATAATATAGGCAACCGGATCCCTAGGACTAGGGATTGTAGTAACCCCAAAAATGTTCAAAATGCTAAAGCGTGCATACGTTCCGCCAAGTCGCCGAAGCTACGTGGAGAGGTGTGTTGCCCCTGGCACAAACATGATTTGGATCAGCTCTGCCACGCAGGAGCAATGGGACCGGTGGCGTGTAATCGGAAGCAACAGCATAGTACCTGGGCTTTGAAGTAACCAGGGAGAAAAAAGTAGAGACTTTTATTTCATAATGGTTCCTTCAAGGATCAGGTCCCACCAAAAAAGTACTAAAGTATGGTACTATTTCATAATGGTTCCTTCAAGGATCAGGTCCCCCCAAAAAATTACTAAAGTATGGTACTCCAAAGCCCAGGTACAGAGGAGTTGCAGGCTGGCCTCCGAAGCAGCTGACAGGGTCGCAAGCAGCACGCGCTTCCAACAAGAGTTCAACAACAGACAGGTGAAGCCCTCGTACCTGCGTTGCTCTTGAAGGTCCTTCAAACTGAGATGATATTGATTCTATGGCAAAAGGCTCGAAATAAACGCAAAGATGTTGTGGTATCGAGCTAGTGACGGCGGCGAACAGAGGGGTCATGCCTCTGCACGATCGATCTTTGTCAGCACCGGCATCTAAGAGCAACTGCACAATGCCCAAAGAACCCTTGGATGCCGCCACAAACAAAGGAGTCTCGTCTTGAAATGCACGATCGGCATGAGCCCGGGCTTCGAGCAACAGCTTCGTTATCTCAATCCATCTGTAATAAGATGCTACAAGCATTGGGGAAGACAGCGGAGTTGTCAGGGCTTCTGGATCGTGAGGGCCTTGTAGCATTGATTCGACATAATCAGTATTCCCACGTCTTATGGCCGCATTCACGCGCTCTTTGTGACTGTCAGAACTGCGGCAGAACGGCAGCAAGACCAAATGGAGGTCTGCAGGCTCAGTCAAGAGGACATTGTCGTTGAGAATAGTCCCGTCTCGGAGCAGTCGTTGTCGAAATCGCGAGGCACCGCACAATTTGGTTAAGCGCTTCTTCAGGTTCTTCACATCACACATGTTTGCCACCTCCTCCACAGGAAAAGAGGTCAGCTTGTTACCCGAAGCTTGCCAAATGCTTAGCATGCTGTGGACCAACGGGTCACGTCCACTTGTAACTTCCCATTCGCGTCGCCAAGAAGTGTCTAGGATGCTGGTGGCGATGTGACCACTCCGTATGGGTAAAGGGAAACATTGATGCACATGTGATGCTGATAACGATGCTGTTGGTGAACGGTACGACAATCTGCTGAGAAATGATGGGCAGTGTTCTCTTCAAGTCCATCCTAAACAGCTGCATTTCCACCCTATACACTATAACCTAATCTCTACCCTCAACTCTAGACACTCGAGCCACAAGGAAGCCTCATCCCAAGTCACCACGCGCCCGAACGAACACAAGTCATGCCACCGCAAGCTCATATCACTGTTGCTGGTTGTGTTACCCTAGGGGTCCAAGTACCTAATAATCATATACCCTCCCAAATACTAACCTAAAAAACTACTGTCCGCAACTAAAGTACCTCATTATTGGGTCCTTTGGACCCTTAGGGTTATTCCCTAAACCCTAAAACGCCTTTGCTGTCGCCTTTGGGGCTGCTGCTGTTGCCATCATTTGTGGGTATTGCTCTGATGCTGACATGTTAGAGTTTAGGGTTTAGGGTTTTAGGGTTTAGGGTTTAGGGTTTAGGGTTTTAGGGTTTGATTTCAATCTTGTCAGCGCGCTACAAAAGTGGGTGAAGCCTACACCGAATCTAAGGCAGTTTTTGATTACAGGGCCTAGCAACTGCACGCTTCAAATCGATCATGGTAGAAAGGTTTCGGGCTTGGGGTTCGGGTGTCTCTGCATGATGCCTGGAATGTGCTGCTTTCGTTCCCGAAGAGATGCAAAAAGCTGTCATTAGAGCACCATCTCCGGATAACAACTGCCAGAACCGTTAAACTTGAAACCCTAAATCCTAAACCATAAAGCCTATTTAACCTTCCCAAAGCAGTCAATGTCTGAGGCCTTGGCTTCCCGAGGTGGGCTCAACTCACCGCGCATGACGGGCTCTTGCTTCTTCCTCGAGGACGTTTAGGGTTTAGGGTTAA